CAGCGCGGGGCTGTGACTTGTCCTCGGCGGGGGCCACGACCCGGCACTTCACGGCCAAGGCCGGGTGACTGACACCCACCCTTGAGGAGATCAGGCAGCCCTGCTCTGCAACCCCGTCTTCCGGGTCCCCCAAACCCACTGGAGCCTCAAGGGTGCGGGCACCAGCACGCGCATGTTCAACCACGCAGTCAGGAGGCTTCCTGCAACCGCCAGACCCACATTTGGCATGAGCTCCCTGCTGACTGCGCAGGTCAAGGCCCTCGGTGACCGTCATTCCTGGGAGGCCAGCCTGAGGGCTGGACACCAGGCCTCCCCCTGCAGCCAGGGCCCCACTGATGCGGGGGAGGTGCCCTGGGACCCCCGAGCCCCGGCAGGCCACCCGACACACCACAGCCTCTGAGCACGAGAACGCGGAGGCGCAGGCCTGGCCATGGACAGCAGGTGGGGAGACCCTGGACGCCACGCGTGCCCTGGGCCGGCCTGCCTACCCTGGGCCGGCTGTGGGCCAGTCCTCTGTGCTCAGGGAAGCCACCACCGCGGCCGGCGGGCCAGGTTTCCCAAACCGGAGCCTGGACGGGCGGGGCTTCCCAGCTCGAGCGCAGCAGGCTATGGGGCGGAGGGCGAACGTGCGTTACCCGCTCTGGTTCTCGGCTCCTCTAGCCCACCAAGAGAGGCCGCAAAGCCCTGGCGCTTCATGCCGCGGCCGTGGCAGAACTCGGACCCCCATTTCTGTGGGGGCTCTGCATCCCGAGGCTCTGGTTTGTGCCAGGGAACCCTGGGGAGATGGGAGCTCGGTGGGTGAAGAGGCGACTGTCCAAATCCAGCCCCCATCTGTAAGGAACCCAGAGGCCATCTGACATGGGCAGGGGCCGTCACGGGCACCACGCAAGGATGCCATGTCCTAGGGGCCCGCCGGGCGCCCTCCCAGCGCTGCTTCGGCCAGTGCAAGACCAGGGGGTCTCCAGAGCCCCCTGTGTGGGTGGAGCTCGGCACCCTGACTGTCCCGGCCCCTCAGTGTGCAAGCCCTGGGACGGGGCAACGGGAGGTGGGCTGGGGGAAAGGGCAGAGGCAACAGGTTCGTGCAAAGGGGAAAAGGCCGCCGTTTCCCTCCCGCGCATTATCAGGCGGGGGAGCCGGGTGAGCTCTGACTCAGCCTCCGGAACCTTCCTCGCCGTAATACCCACCATTAGCACTTTGAGGCCCCTACAAGCTAACGCAGAGGCGTAAACAGAACGAGGTCACCCCAGAGACTCAGGGAGCCTTTAGAATCAGAAACCTTATTTTAAATCCCTCATGACAGAGATAAGAGGGCACATCTCCTGGAGGGGCCACCTGAGTCCCAGGGTTCCGGCGTCCAGCTGGGAGTGTGTCCTCAGGTCCCAGGGAGCCCACGCAAGTCTCCCGTGCGTGCGCTCACGCGGCCCCACTGCTGGACGGGGTCCCGGGCGGGCGGCCCCCACCAGGACCCCAGGAGGGCAGGCTCGGCTTCACAGCACTCACCGACTGCTCCCTGAGAGGCTCCCGGGTCTCCTCCAGCCCGCTCCCGAAGTCTCCAGACACCTGAGGGCGTGCAGGGAAGGAGGGAGCCATGACCAAACGGCATCCCCGTGGGGGGTCAGTCTGGCCGCCGGCGGGCACGCCCGTCAGACCCACGCAGAACCGTGAACACGTTCCTTTTCTCGACTTGTCGTCCCGTTCCGGGTACACCGTGCTGGGAGACAGCCAGAGGACGGAGGCCCTGCACAGGGGGCTCTAGGCACGGTCTGTCAACACGGAGGCCGCGGGTGGACGGCCTGACGGCGCTGAACAGAGTGGCCCGCGGCCGCGGGACATGTGACCTGTCCTTTCATCCCGCGCTGCTTGCACACACGGCTGACGGCCTCACTCTGTTCCCGGCCGTGGGGTCACCAGGGCATTTTCCGCTCTGGATTCTCCCTGGGAACATCGGCCCTATGCACGCACACACGCACATGCACGCTTTCACACACATGCACACACGCGCATCCGGCCACGGTGACTACCAGCGACCACGGCACCCAACTGGCTCTTCTAGGGACCGTTTTTAACGCTCTGGATTCGGTATGAGTTTTTAAGCGGAAAGTTCTAGGCAGGAAATGTTCTTTTGGTGTCATGGGTAAATGAAAACGTGGTCCCAGGTTCTTGGTACCCAAATGGCATTTTTCAGGGGAGACCTTTCCAGTCCCACCACTTCGGGGTTCCCAGCAAGCATGCGCCCTGGGCCTTCCGCCCTCGGGGAAGGGTGGGTGGGGTGGGGGAGGGAACCCCGTCACTCACCCCGCCACTGTCCTCATCGTCCTCCTCCAGACAGTGCAGGGGGCTCACGTGGGGGTCCCCGCGCACCCTCAGCTCCGCGATCATCCCCTAAAGGCAGAGGGAGAGAGGGGTCACCGTCGGTCCCGAGGCAGGTGGTGCGGCAGGCCGGCACTCAGCGCGGAGCCCGGCACCGCCGGGGGTGATCTCAGCAGGGACACGGAGCGGCGCGAGAAGGTGCAGGACGAGGCCGTCTCAGGGAGTGGATCGTGCTCAGGTCGCTCCCCCTGCGGCTCCAAAAGCACCTGTGTGAGGGGACCTGGAATGGAGGCGCGCTCCTGGAGAGCGCTGCGTGAAGCAGGCACCACCGGCCCCGAGGATCACCAGTATACGCATCTCCCCCAAACGAAGGGGGGCCGGGACCTCAGGAGGTGGTGACGGCGGAGGGGGAGCCGTGTGTGGCCCTGGCTACTTTGGGTCCGCCGGAGGCCATGACCGGAAACCAGCAGGTGTGCCCCAGGACGCGGGCAGCTCAGGCCGCCCAGGCGGAGTCGGAGGGGTGCTCCCCTGGACACGCCTTCCAGGCTGAGCCACCGGGCCTCTCAGGCCACTTGCTGCAAGGTTCCCCTGCCGGGAAATGGTGAGCGTCCACACACGTGTTTTCCAGTGTTTTCTTTGTTTCTCACGTAACATTTTAACTCCCGGGGATGTACGCCGGTGCATTTCTCCCAAATAAAAGCTGTACTTGGTCAGTCTGAGAGGTGCGTCTGAACCACTGCGGTGATAGAAAGCCCTGGGTCAGGGGCCGGCTGGTGAGCACTCCCATGTCTGTCCCGACCGCGGTGCGTCGTGCTGGAGTCGACCCCCACAGGACACGGAGGGCTGAGCGTGGCCAAGCCCAGCGCTCTGCACACCGGAACGGCATTCAGTGAGTGTCCGCAAGCCGCGTGCTGGCCCCACCTACGTTATTCAGTTTATTCCTCCAAATGACCTTCAGACTCCCTTCATCAGCTGACCCTCGACACCCTGACCAGCCTGCTGCGACAACAAACCAGAAACAGCCCACCATGTCCCCAGCTGAGCCCAGCCTGAGGGCTCCACTTGCTTCCCAAGGCCGCCTCCTCCAGGAAGCACTCCGGGATCCCTACCCGGGAGGACTTGCATCTCGGGGGCCAGTTCTGCCTGACTCTACCCCCACCCCCAGCTGTTGACAGTGAGGCCTGTGGGGCTGCGTCCCGTCTCGGAGTGTGTCACACGTGCACATGGATATGCGTGATATGCACACGCGTGCTCGTTCATGCACATACCCCTGCTCCTGGGAAGCCAATGAGGATGGCTGGACCCAGGGACCCAGGCGGGACTTGCGGGGAGGAAGGCGCCTGTCGCCCCACAATTACCGTGAGGTCCTCATTTTCCCAGAGCACTTGCGGCTGGGCCAGTGCCCCAACTCGCAGGGGAAGGAGGCGGCTGAGGACACAGGCAGGAAGCAGTCAAATGCAGGCGTGTGCATGTGGACAAGTCTGCACCTGTGTGCATGTGAGCGCACGTGTGCATGTAGTGAGTGTGCATGTGAGCACACGTGTGCGTACAGTGAGA